GTCATCATAACATATGACTTAATTTACTGCTTGAAACACAACTAAGACGCATTACAGAATAATCTTTAGGTGAGGTAATAACATGGTAATATACATTTGCAAAGTTCTACACCAAGTCACCTTTCCCTTTCCATGGCTCAATTTTCCTGTAGCATTCTCCTTCCTATGCGGCAAGTGATAAAATTTCTACAGTATATATGTCTCTGTCTTAGATCTGAACAGGTAAAAGCAGCTCAGTGTAGTAGTTCACACTGCATTTCAGTGTAAAACATGGCAGCTCTACCATGAATAACACATTACTTTAAGTACTTACCTTCTCTCTGCTACTGTGAGCAGTTAAAGACCTTTGTGCTGCCCCACGAAGAGCTGTTCGATAATTATAGAAATTGCTGGAAGGGTCCATCTGATGCTGTAGATAAGAGAGAAGATATTAATTATTTACTTCTCACCTATAGCAAGTATACAAGATCACATATTTAATTATGCATAAAAATTCAAAATAAATTAGGGAACACATTAGGAATGTGATTTATATCTCTTTTCATACACACTCGTATACATAAAACACATTAAAACACAAATGTTTTCCTTCCTAAGGTTTAGTTTATTTATACAAGCTAATGTCAGCTTCGATAATGTTAAACCTTAATCAAATTCTTTCTAGACTACTTATTGAGACTAGACCTAAATCTGAAAACTAAGCCAAAAACAGCACTAGAAAAATTCCTTGGTTTCATCTGACGGTTAGTGGGCTGGGTGATGCTAAGCCATGTATAGTGATCCGGCTCTTTGTAGTAAACTTGTTCTTTGCATTTGGTAACAAATCATTCACAAATAATTGAAAGCATACTGCTTTTCAAGAAGGAAAAAAAAATTAGATAATATGAATAAAGCATTACATAATACATCTAATGATAATTTCTAATTTGGGAGAAAACTTGGGAAAGAATACTTTCTTATTATGTCCAAAGATAGTAGATTCAAAGCACCAACCCACCAAGGTAATACTAAATTGATTATGATGCAAACACACGTGGCCTTGTGCACAATTCCCACCATCCTCAGAATTACATGGGAAGGGCTTTTTCACAGGTTAGGTAAATTTTTTGCAGGAATTGTGAGTAAATGTTTCTGTAAGGATGGGGAACTCCTCCCCTGGGACAGTGTAGATAAAGGGAGCTAGAAGACACAGGCACAATTCCCACCATCCTCAGAATTACATGGGAAGGGCTTTTTCACAGGTTAGGTAAATTTGTTGCAGGAATTGTGAGTAAATGTTTCTGTAAGGATGGGGAACTCCTCCCCTGGGACAGTGTAGATAAAGGGAGCTAGAAGACACACAGGGAAGTAAAACTCAACTGTTCAGGACCCAACTTCCATTCTGGCATACAATGTGATATGACTGACAGGTCACCATTGCCCTAGTCAATCCAAGATGGACAACTCTCTCTATAAAAGGACTAGTTTACAACCTGACTCATCTCCCCTTCCTCCAACACTAATCCCTTTCCTTTCCCTGGGTCTGGAAAGATAGATGGCTTCTTCTGCCTGATCGAGAGGCAAGATCACACAGAGGAATTCCACTTCCAGGTGTAAAATGTGGCTTAACAGCAAAACACCAGCTTCACATACCTCAAGAATGTCAAACTTCGCAGTCTTCACTTTGGCCCAAGTTTTTTTTAGTCGAGAGACTGGGCTCATATTCATGCCAGCTTCCCATTAAAACAGAGGGAGAGAAAAAAAGAAAATTGAAGTAGAGAAATAAGAACTTAACTTATACGCCTAAAAATAAGTGTTCATTACTAAGGGTAAGAGTTCTACAAATTATTAGTAATAAACTCAAATTTTATAACTTTCTTTTTGCAAATTCTCCCTAAACCCAGAAACAGCATAACTACTATCAGTTACTTTGAGCAGGGGTGAGCAAATTTTTTCTGTAAAGGGGAATACAGTAAACATTTTAGGCTTTGCAGGCCACATGGTTTGTGTCATTGTGGTGCAGAAGCAGCCATAACCTAATTATGTAGATAACTACATAAAAAAATGAGTGTGGATGTGTTCCAGTAAAACTTTATCTATGGGCACTAAAATTTGAATTAATATTATGTTCACGTTAGAAATATCATTCTTTCATTTTTTAAATCACTTAAAAATATAAAAACTATTCTTAGCTCACTAGCCATAAAGAAACCAGTGGTGAGCCAGATGTGGCCCTGAGGTTGTAGTTTCCTAAACCCTTAAACTAGAGCTTAAGGTGTCATCCATGCTTTGCCTATACTATCTCGTATATTCCTTCAGCATTCTTACAAGAATAAGCTGAAGTTCTAGGGGGTAAGAAATTTTCCCAAGGTCATCCAGCTAACAAATAACAGAGATAGATGCTCATACTGATTTGATTCCATAACCCACACTCATTCCAGCACACCGTGCCACCTCCCCTCAATGATACTTTACATACTACAGTTATTTGGGAAAATATTACCGTGGCTGTTCATAGAGAAAAGGAGTCCACCCCACCCTAAATGAGTACGTATCTATTAATTCCATGCCACCAACATTCATATTTTAAGGACCAGAAGAGGGAGACTTCTTTTGACTTGAGGTAAAATTTATATTTAGAAAAATACAGAGATCTTAAATATACAATTAGATGAAAGTTAACAAATGCATAAGTCCATGTATCACCACCCTAATCAAGATACAGTAAAACATTCCATCATCCCAGAAAGCTCCCTTGGACCCTCTTGTGGTCGATCTCCATTCCCCAGAGAAATCAGAACAGTGGTTACCTGTCACCACAGATTAGTTTTGTCTGTTCTAGAACATCATAGAAATGGAATCATACTGTATACACTCTTTTGTGTCTGGCTCCTTTTGCTCAACATAATGATTTTTAAATTATCCATGCTATTTATATGTATCAATTGTTCATTTTTATTGCTGAATAGTATTACACTGTATGAATATATCACAATTCCTTTATCCATCCACTTGTAAAGGGGCATTTGGGTTGTTTCCAGTTTGGGGCTATTATGAATAAAGCTGCTTATATACATTCTTGTGCAAATCTTTCTGTGGATATGTTTGCATTTCTATGGGGTAAATATGTAGGTGTGTAGAATTTCTGAATTACAGGGTAGGTATATGTCTAACTTTATTCTTATAAACTGCCAAATGGTTTTCCAAAGTAGTAGTACCATTTGATACTCTCAACAATAATGTATAAGAGTTCCACTTGCTCCACATTCTCAGCAATATTTGGTGTAACCAGTCTTTTTCATTTCAGTCATTCCAGTGTGTGAAACAGTATTTCACTGCAATTTTAATTTGTATTTCTCTGATGACTAATGATGTGCAGCACCACTTTATATACTAATTATCCATTAGCATGTCTTCTTTTGTGAAGTATCTGTTCAAGTCTTTTGCCCTTACTTTCATGGGATTATTTGTCTTCCTATTGATTTGTAGGACTCTTTGTAGATTCTGGATACAAATTCTTTGTCAGCTAAATCACAAATATTTTCTCCCACCCTATGGCTTGCCTTGACATTTTCTTAATAGAATTAAGACAGAAATTAAGTAATCTTCTATTACCTAGACAGTGGGCCTTTCAGATCCCTAATTTAGATGATCTTTCTATTCACTGTTTTCATGGAGTCAGTTAAATAATGAGCTGAAATTTGGCAGGTATTTTTATGGGGGAGACAAAGAGGAAATGATATGCAAACAAAATGGAAAAAGGACTTGGTGAAAGGGAAGATTTATAAGAATCAAGATTATTGAATTAAATTTGATAGATTCTCTAGCTTCAAACTGACCCCGACTCTTTTCTTCATTCTTTTATTCAATGTTTACTAAGCACCTACAATTATTTGTCACATAAACTAAGACACTTTTTAATAAAAAAGCCATTATCAATAATTATGTCTAGACAACAGGTATAATCTGGGACAACCAAGAGATATTGTTATCACACACCCTATGTTTATAGAATGAATGGAAAGAAACAGGGTCTCAGGTTAATATTCCCGTGATACAGAGGAACAAGTTTGTATACTAGAGTAATAAGGTCTGCAGGTAATAAGGATGTTTATAGAATGAATGGAAAGAAACAGGGTCTCAGGTTAATATTCCCGTGATACAGAGGAGCAAGTTTGTATACTAGAGTAATAAGGTCTGCAGGTGATAAGTAGTAAGAGCAAGGACAGTCAGAAAATATTCCAGTTTCTTAGAAATATTGTTCATGCTGATGGAATCATTTAATGTGTATTTCTATAATGTTTGTATTTCTATAATGCTTTATACACAAGCTTCCCCAATGTGTTAAAAACCCTTTATTTTGACAAATATCTCACTCATAAGCTTTTATACACAAATATTTAGCTAAGGATAAGTTAAAAGCATGCCATGAATTCTTGCATACTTAAGATTACACACACTTGCACCAACATTCTGAAATAACTCGGATTAAGAAGTACAGTTTTTATTAAGAAAACCATACTATTTGCATATTTTCAGTGAACCCAGTTCACAGGACTCATGAAACTAAAGGACATGTATCAACCAGAAAATACTCACAGATTATCGCCATCAAGGAATTAAAGTTGCCAATGTTAAAACACTCCCGAGCTACATCAATGAAATACTCAATCATTCTTGCTCGGTGTTTCTTCTTTACAGGCTACATAGAAAAAGACAATAAAGGGCAGTTACCCAGCACGTAGGCCCAACAGTTGTAAAATAAGTATGAAAAAATATTATTGAAATCTAGGAGGCATAGAAAATTCATTGTCCCACCATGCAGATTTCTGTAGCAACCAAGTAGCTGAGGCGATTAAACCATTCCACATAAGCTTCTAAGTTTCGTGTTTTTTTCCGTTCACTGTAGCAACTCTATAGAGAAAGCAAAGAGAACAGATGAGTTGGAGAAAAAAAGAACGTATTAGGCTCTCATTTCATCCAATATAGGCCTATATTCTTAATTCATGGATTAGGAAATCTTTCAAGAATGAGAGAGAGGGGGGAAAGGGAGAGCAAGAACCATGAACATTCCTGATTATCCTTACGGAAATATCAAAATCTCTTAGAGCAGTCCAGTGAAACCCCTGAGGCCCAGAATGTACTCTGATGCATTAGGAAAAGTGCCCTTCTCTCCCCTCCCAGGAAACTAAGTTACTCTCAGTGGGACCTGTCCTCAAAAGCATAATTCAAAGGAAGGGTTTTTGCTGCATTCTACAACAATCTTGACTGATTAATGCGGTGCAAATACCAGTTCCCATCAACACAGCAAGGAGAGGCTAAGAGTGCAGAGAACCAGACACTTTCTCCTAAAATTAAGTCATAGGACAAAATTTTGGAGCATCACGTAGCAAGAAACTAAATATCTTCCTAGGTAGATAAATGGAAGTCTACACCATCAAGGTTTTTGGTAGGGTGAGTGACAGACTGTTCAAAAGCAAGTTAATCTCATCCTGGAGTCCAAGGCCAAGCTTGAAGAGGTTAATTATACCCCTCTTTCCTTCCTTCCAAAAGAAACAAACAAAAATGTCCACTAGCCTCTATTGCAAAACATATTCTTCACTTCCCGTAATGAGAGAAACTACTCTAAGGCCGGAAAACAGCTGTTGCCCCTACTCCCAGAGGGGGGCTTTCATCAGTGGGTGAAGCAGTCTTTGCCTAACAATTCAAAATACTTCTAGAGGTCACTGGTGAAAAAAATTCTTATATGTGTACACTGATTTTACAGTCGATGCCCAGTATTATTTTCTTTACATGTGGGCTTCACCCAGGCAATAAACCTGTCATATAAGAGATTTACCTTAAAATAAGAGGCAAAGCAGTCAAGACCCTTGCTCAGCAAGCTGGATGTGCATCCTGTCTTTCCTGCCCTGCTATTGTTGAATCATGAGCAGAGCATTCTCTTTTATTGTCTTTCTGACTTAATCTGCTAAAACCATTATGCTTTTATCTCCTACCTTCATCACCACAAATGCCTGCATCTACTTGCTGCAAAAGTCTTATTAAATTTCCCAATAAGGAGGAAGGAGAGGCTAAAATTAGCGATGGGGTAAGAGTATTGTAAAGGCACAGAGACCTAGCTCAAGAAAGACTGCAGTGAATCAGACATGGCTAATGGAAAAAAAAAAAAATTCTGACTTGAAAACCTAAAACAGAATTGTTTCGGAGCTGACCTCTGGGTAGACCCATTACCTTGTCATTGTCCAAAGGGTCCTTCTGCACAAATGCCTGAACAAATTCCTCTGGCCCAATATAATTAAGCCTTTCCTGAAACACAAATCCAACAGGTCAACATTACTAAAGAAAATAAAAGAAATGGACTGTCACCTCCTTCTACTGACTTTTGGTATCACCCTCATTTTTAAATGCAGACTATAAAATAAGCCTTTAACCCCAAATTCATCTTCAAGGTCTGAACAGAGTCAACTTTCTGCTTAGGTCAGTGTTCTTCAAAATAGTAAAAGACTGAGCAAGTTATGGAAAAATTAATTAGAGATGGAAGATGAGGAAGGTTAATAAACTCTTTGCTCTTCAGTTTTGATTAGTATTTATTTACAAGTGAATTCCCAGAATATATGAGAAGCATCCACATTCAAATGCCTAAACAAAGCATGTTGTGGCTCTTTGTAGATTATTTCCCATTTGGGTTATTCTGACCTCTTGGGTGACATTACTGCTGACAAATACATTGTGTGGTTGTCAGAGCAAACCAGATCTGTGGTCGGAAAGGACAAGGATGACAGCAGCCTTACCAGCTCGATGTGAGTCAGCTGCTGGGCCAATGTGTAGGGGTCACTGCAGACGGTAATGATATCCCTTTGTATGGACTGTGGCTTGGTCTTGAGAACTGTGAGCCGATCTGTGGATGAGGAGCTGATTTTTGCCAGGACTTCCTCATACTGGCTGAGAGCAGCAAGCTTGCGGATCAGACACTGCATCATCTGCTGGACGTTCTTCCGGTATGTCTGCTAGAGAATAAGTGAAGCATTACATCCTCGCTCTGAAGGTCTGTTTCCACCACGATGCAAAATCAGAGACTATGTCCTTACATGATTTTACCTTGACATTGGAGAATCAGCTTGGTTCAGAGCAGCTAGCCCTCACAGTTTAAAAGAGATACATACTAAAAGACACACATATGTACAAGGTGTCTTTTCAGACCTGTAAGGCTTAGTTCTTTTCTCAGGTTGCTAGTACGAGTACCATGCAGGCTGGACCATGAACACACTGCAATGGTGTCAGGTTAGCTATTGAGAGAATACAGTATAATAAGTACCACACATAACTAAATGTTTTCTGGGCTGGCATATAAATGTAGCTGTTTACTTTTGGTGGGTTAAAATACATTCATCACATATCAAAGTATCCTTTTCCTAACACTTTTTCTTTAGGGCAACTTTCTCTATTTCTCCATTCCTATCATTCCCCACCTCATTAGTCTAAGGACATAAGACAACTACCTAACAGAAATACACCGTTATTCTAACTCACTCCCAACCACCTTCCTGACTTCCACATATAACATGGGCTACCATGAGGAAGCAGTGGATATTCGTTTTTGGCATCTGACCTCCACTTGGCTCACATCAGTTTCTTTTGCATTCATGAGTCAATGCTAACGTTCACAAACAAACTCTGCCATATGGCAATTCTCCCCAGAATGCTACCAGCAAGTGCCACCTTGCTCACCACTTCATTATGCCACAGCCATATTCTTAAGAGAAATTGGTTTAAAAGCATTGCATGTATTATAGTTGGTGTTGTCAGCACCACGCTCAGCCAGTGAGCGAACCGGCCATCCCTATGTGGGATCCGAACCCGGGGCCTTGGTGTTATCAGCACCGCACTCTCCCGAGTGAGCCACGGGCCGGCCCAACCACAGCCATATTCTTAAGAGAAATTGGTTTAAAAGCATTGCATGTATTATAGAGAAGAGTCAACCTCTTCACTTTTAAAACACTTAAGGCAAAGAAATGACTTTACAATCAATCAAAATCCCTAAGGTACAGTTATCATGATAGAAGTTATGAGGTTATTTTAGTTTTCCATCTCTAGCCAAAAATTCCCAAACAACAATGATCCTTGTAGGTGAATTGTAATGTCTGTGTCAGAGAAAGGCACTCAGGCTGATCCAAGACTAACAGGGGCCTTAGGTTAATAGCTCCAATGGAGGAGAGTCCCAGTCCCAGTGAATTTGCAGATGTAGAAAGGCCTAAGTTTATGCTTCACTGCCTTTTTAAAAAGGTACCACAATATCATTTCTGAGGTTAATTATCTGAAAATTAAGTAGCATTTTACCTACAAGTATAAGAACCACACACACACACACACATTTTACAGAGGCAATTTGGTTTAACAGTGCATATCACAAAAACCTAAATGAAGAGATATTTGCATATGAGGAAAATTACAACACATCTGTACATGGTTAATTCTCACAAGGCATAAAAGCATACAAATCATCCTTTTTCTTGTCTTCTTCTCTACTTGTCCATATATACTCAACTGAAGTTCTTTAAATGGGCCCATCGAATGATTTTTCTTTTTCTCTACATTCACAGCCCACCTTAAAATCTCTAATGAAATGCCTAAGAGTTAAAAAACTGAACCTTCAAAAAGCCTATCTTCCACACAGCATTATCAGTTTAGAAGATGCTATCTATTTGATAATATGCTTGTCACTCAAGGAAAATGCCTTTTTCTTCAGGATTCCAAACTGTTCAAGGCTAACTTGAGGGCTGTTTTTTAAATTCCTCATCCCTATTCCCCTGCCTATTCTACATTCATAGCCTTGAGTTACATTAAACATCTATGAACCTAAAATGTTTTCTCCAGTCTTCCTTCTGTCCCAAACCTCATAACAAATGCCTGTATCAGTTAGACACTACTTCTAAAAATTATGCAAATATTTCCCAGTATATGACGCAGAATATTTAATAAACACCTCTTGAAGGTATTTAGTTACAGCATGTACTATACAGAGTAGAAAATACATGTTATAAAGCTGAAGTTTCACAATTATCAAAGACTCTTTACAAGAGTAACCCACAACTGTCATTATGTTACTACATAGTTTGACGTGGATAGGAACTTATCTTCTATGTTAAGTCTTTCTGAGAATATTCCTGAATTTTCTGCATAAACAATTGACTTGTTTGTTTCCAAAAGAATAGTCTTTAAAAAACAAACAAACAAAAAAAACCCACATGGCCCAATCCAAACTGGACTACTGTGCAGCAGCTGAAAGAAGACACTGCTATCTGAACTGACAAGGAAATGTTGCCAGGGCATATTACTGAGTAAAAAAAAGCAAGATAAAGAACACTAGGTCAGCACACACATGCACAAACTGTATACACTACTCTTACGGATGTGTGTGTGTTATGTGCATGAATACATATACACAAAGCAGCAGCTCTGCAAGGATATACACCAAACTGATGACCATTGTTACTTTTAAGAGAGAAGTAGGATTGATGGAAGTTTTGAGTAACTTCTGCTCTGTGTGATTTTTTTTTAAATAATGAGAATATATTCCTATATTAATTTATTAAAAATAAAACTTTTAAAAACTTCCCCACAGAATGGGATTTCTTGGATAACATACGTAGGAGACGTGTAAGACAGTTCTTTTCACTCAAAGAAGCCACCAGCAGCTCATCTTAAAACATCTGTTATTCTATGTCTCAGCAGCTACTCCACGCGTGTTAGCATTCCTCCATTATGTCTCTTTTCCCCACCCCTTCCTAGGATCCCCACAGAAAATACTTTGATCAGAAATTACCACTTCTCTTCAGGTCCCCACCTGAGGGTACCAGCTGAGAAGCAATGTGTGCAAGAAACAGCTGAACGGGGACAGCCTGTGACCTGGGTCCCACCCCAGAGATTCTGATAGAATTGCTTCGAGGTGCAGCCTGGGTAACATGATGTAAATGCTCCTCAGGTGATTCTCATACACAGCGATGTGAGAAAACCAATGCTCCACTACCATATCTGGTGAAAGATTTTTATTCTGCCAGGTAAAGAAATGGATTTTTAAGGGAAGTGGAGAAATGTACAGTCAGCTTGCTACTGAGAAAAAAGCAACAGCAAAATATAAGGGAAAAAATGTACACAACACGGGAGAAAGCTATTCAAATAACAACTAGCGTGTATGTGAGACAGTGAGGGAGACACAGAGACAGACAGAATGTGTGACCTCTTTTAAAAGTTTCCTGCTGCCATTGACTCCATTTGAGAAATCAAGCTTTGTGTTTTTAAGCATGATTCCTCACTGAGTCATGAATTGCTAAACATGTACTTATTCTTTTTTATAACTTCAAATGCCAGTGACAGTAATTACCTGGCAAATAAAGACAGAAGTTCTTATTATAAAGACCAGCCCCTTAAGCAAGAGAAAATTGCATTCTCCCCACTATAGTCATTTGTCGTGTAATTCAATCATTAGTTTTATTTCATGTTTCTTGCAGAAGTCCTAATAAACTACCTCATTTTGGGCAAATCCATCGAAGGAAACATATTAAGCCAAATTATGTGGAACTGTCCTAGCAGATTCAGGAGAACCTGACTGAATTACATATAGGACACACCTGGATTCATTGACTGCCAAAAAGAAAAAAAAAAAAAAAAAAAAAAAAAGTCCCTAAAGTCCCAGGCAAGAAGCAACTAATCCAAGACCACATTCCTTCCAGTGGAGGGAAAACTTTTTTCCCTATTCCAGTAACTGACTTCATTCACTCATTCATATATTCATTCAAACACTACTGAGAGCCTATTAAATGTCAGGCACTGAGCCAGGAGTTAAGGATACCACGGCGAGCAAAGACAGCACACCATGGAGTCTAGTGGGGGAAAACAAGCAATCAAAAAACAATTAATTACTAATCACAGAGTGCTATGAAGGCAAGTGTACTGAAAAGAATAGGAGGAGCGTGTAGTCATAGCTGGGGTGGTGAGGGAAGGTCTCTCTGAGAGACACTTAAGCACATGACAGATAAGGAGCCTGACAAGCAAAAAACTGGGGAAAGAAAGAGTATCCGTCATACAATTTTAGAGCTAAAAGGAGTGTTAACACATGGCAGTTACCTCTATAATTTACAGAGATGAGAAAGGAGCAAGGAATTTAGGGGACCTGCCAAACCACACTCAGATCAACCAGCTGCCAACTGTGAACCTGATTTCTGAATAAGGGATAGAAGCAGACAAGGAAACATTGCCCTGTAAAATCCAACCTGATCAAGGCAGGTGACATCTCTCCACCCAACTCTTAGTTTAATCAGCTCCTCAGACAGACTTGGCTTATCTTCTCATCTCCACTTTTCATGCTCAAAACCATCTGAACTTCTCAAGGTTTATGAAGAATATGTTATTAACACAGGAGTGGTGATAAGAAGCCAGGGTTAGAAGTCTGTGTGGCCCTTTGCTCAGTTCTACCCAACTCTTGAATGGCTTGATCCTGTTAAACGGAAAGATCAGATTTCTGACCAAAAACAAATAGAACTGATCTCCCGCTTTGACTCCCATGAAAAGAAGAACCAAAAGCTATCTAACTGGCATTTTCAAAACACTAGTATTTTATCTAAAAAGAAAAAAGACTGTAAGGTGTTTCTTCTGAAAAGAACCAAGTTATAATTTCTAAAAAAAGGCAATAGAGGGAGGGTGAACTGACTGACACAAGACATTAAGCAGCTACATACAACTCAACTGAAATAAAGAACTGACTAACCCAGGTCTCAACCTTCATACAAGAAAAAGCCCTTATGATGTCACTAATCTTTTGAGCAGCTTGTCATAAACTGTGGTCACTGAGCCAGTATTGACCCTGCCAAGTACCCCAATAGCTAACATCTCTAATACAAGATTTGCTACAAAACTGCAATATGATGCTTAACTTTTGCCTTTGTGAGTGAGAACCTATCAATTCTTTCTCACCTGACTAGAACCTATAACAGACAAACTGACAAAATGATTATAACAGTCATACCTTGCAAAATAACTCAGGAAACAACTCATTCATCCTTGTAGAAATGAGCACCGGGGTTCAATATAATGTCATAAAGTAAGAGTAAAAGGGTTAATTCCATTTTTCATGAGTAGAATATAATACAGGAAAGCCAGGTACAAATTTTTCAAGTGCTAACCATATAATTTTATTCTGCGTTTTTTGAGTAGGGGGAATGGCATTAAAATGTATTCACAAGAATTAGGCAGAATAGATAGGGTATCTTGTTACATTATCTGTACAGCACACCAATGAATGACTGAATATCCTCATTATGAGAATGAGAACTCATTCTCCAGAAAGGTTATTATAACAAGAAAATGCATTTTAAGATGAATGAAACAAGACATCACTGCAACTGCCAAATGTTTTGTCTACCTTTTTCTATGTGAAAATGTTGTATCTGTGCCTAAATAACTTGTTGCCAGAAGCTTACCAGCAATATAGAAACTACAGAGACATCCTTGCCTAACAAGCCTCAACACAGACTTCCAGCCCTCCAGGCCTGCTTCAAAGAAGATAACCATGAATTTGTCACAGCTAGTTAGCTCTTATCAAAAGCTCTATTGAGGGAAGTGATATTTATGGAAGATTATCTAATATACTTACTTTTAAGCTCCTCCTACACTAGGTCCTACTCTTGAATCAATTTCCGAGCACCAGAAGACTTGGATTATTTTCTCTGACTTTTCCTCCTCCCCCAAAGAATTTCCTTTGCTAATTTACACATTAATTTATGGCCACAGCTTTTATCAAGGAGCATTTGTTGTAAACACTATACAGAGGAGTTTCCATGACCTCATTTATGCCCCNAGCACCAGAAGACTTGGATTATTTTCTCTGACTTTTCCTCCTCCCCCAAAGAATTTCCTTTGCTAATTTACACATTAATTTATGGCCGCAGCTTTTATCAAGGAGCATTTGTTGTAAACACTATACAGAGGAGTTTCCATGACCTCATTTATGCCCCTGTAAAAAGTCCCTCATAAGAAAGTTCTTTAAATTTTCATTTTATGCCCTAAAGAGTAAAGTATGCTTTCTTTTTCTGAGAATTATATAGCCAACTGTATTTCCCTTTTACCTAGAACTTAAATTCAAACCACAGCAGTCCTGTCCTATTCTATTGGCTCTCAACATCAGCATATTTCTTTTCTATTTTTCATGGCCCAGATAGTCTATTTCTAGTTATGATTTATTAATACACTACTTGTCATCTGTTAACTTTACTTTANTTTAGAAGGAAGGAAGAAGGAATGAAGTAAGGTTAAAATACATGTGCAACATGTGCATGAATCCTGTGCACAGACTGACATGAACACGCCCTCAAATCAATTTCATAAAACTCTAGATCATCCTTTCAAGTGGGATGGTATAATCATCTCCATTTGACATACCAAACAGACCAATATGCTATGTAGAGGGCTTGCCCAAAGGCAAAACAGAAAGAAAGCAGTGGACATCCTGATGCATAATTCAGCACCTTCTCCTATCGAGGCTATGCCTGGGAATTCCAGTGGCTATGCAAAAGTCAGGTTACCAACCTCCTCGCCACTGGCTATATGGTGAGCCAGATCTTTTAAGTTTCTCATCATTCTTTCATCCCGAAAATCATAAGGAAATGTTTCCGTCCATTCTGTCAGGAGTTGAAGGATTTTAGGTGCAATTTTTCTTATCTGGTTCTAGAGAGAAAAAGCAAATCAAATTCAGTGATA